TACCTTAAGCAAACAACTCAGGGTAGGAGTCTCGCATCTTGCTCTCCAACTCCCAAGTCATGCTTTCTCCGGAAGCTCCTAACCAAACCACTTTAGCCAAAGCAATCTCCTTGCCCCTCAGAATCTTTATTTCACGATCCGTGATTTGTACAGGCATCGTCTCCACCGTAAGATTATCCCGTACTTGCACATCGTCCATAAGAATCACATGAGATGGATCTGAAATATACTTCCGGAGTTACGACACGTGAAACACATCATGCAAATTCGAAAGATTAGGCGGTAAAGCCACTCTATAAGCAACATTCCCCACTCTCTTCGAAATCTGATACGGTCCAATAAAATGAGAAGTGAGCTTCTTAGACTTCAACGCTCGCCCAACACCAGTCACATGTGTAACTCTAAAACACACATGTTCACCAGCTTGAAATTCTAAATCTTTCCTTCGCTTGTCATGATAACTCTTCTGTCTACTTTGTGAAGCTTTCATCTTTTCTCGAATCAACTTCACCTTCTTAGTAGTTTCACGAATAAGTTCAGGTCCAAGTACTACACTCTCACCAGATTCATGCCAACATAAAGGAGTTCTACATCTTCGACCATACAACCCCTCAAAAGGTGTCATCCCAATACTAGAATGGTAACTGTTGTTATAAGTGAACTCTATCAACGGAAATATTTATCCCACGAACCTCCCTGCTCAAGAACACATGCCCTTAGCAAATCTTCCAACGATTGAATCGTTCGTTCAGTATGACCATCTGTTTGAGGATGATACGCTGAACTCAACCTCAACTTAGAACCCAACGCTTCTTGCAAACTCTTCCAAAAATCATAAGTAAATCTTGGATCTCTATCTGACACAATGCACAAAGGAACACCATGCAGCTTCACAATCACACTAGTGTAAACCTCAGCCAACTTAGACACTAGAAAACTGATGTTAATAGGAATAAAATGAGCTGACTTCGTAAGCCTATCAACAATCACCCAAATTGAGTCATGTCCTCTTAAAGTATTAGGTAACCCCGTCACAAAGTCCATTGAAATGCTATCCCATTTCCATTCTGGAACTTCCAACGGTTGCATCAATCCTGCAGGCTTCTCATGTTCAACTTTCGACTTCTGACAAGTCAAACATGCATACACAAACCGAGCCATATCACTCTTCATCCCAGGCCACCAAAACAAACCTTTCAAATCTTGATATATCTTTGTAGCTTCTGGATGAATACTCAACTTACTTCTATGACTCTCCTCAAGTATCACTTTCTTCATCTCAGCATCATCAGGAATACAAATCTGGTTACGAAACCTCAACACACCTTGCACATCTAGCTTAAAATAATTGTTCTCCGATTGATCAATCCCAACCATCAAATCTACCAGTTTCACATCCAACTTCTGAGCTTCTCTGATACCGTCTAAAAATTCATTATTAATCTTCAACATACCCAACCTAACACTCTGTGGTGTAACCTCGCAAACTAAGCTCATATCTCTGAACTTCTCAATTAATTCCAACTCTTTAACCATCATTGTTGACATATGTAAAGTCTTTCGACTCAATGCATCAGCTACCACGTTCGCTTTTTCTGGATGATAATTCAAACCAAAATCATAATCCTTTAACAATTCCAACCATCTTCGTTGCCTCATATTCAACTCCTTCTGATCAAATAAATACTTTAAGCTCTTATGGTCACTAAACACTTCAAATCTAGAACCATAAAGATAATGCCTCTAAATCTTCAACACAAAGACAACTGCAGCAAGCTCTAAATCATGCGTAGGGTAGTTCTTCTCATGAGTCCTCAACTACCTTGACGCATAAGCAACTACCTTACCATTCTGCATAAGCACACCTCCTAAACCCATCTTAGAAGCATCACAATACACCACAAAAGGCTCTCCTGGATTAGGCAACGTCAAAATCAGAGCCGACGTCAACCTCTTCTTCAATTCCGTAAAACTTTCTTCGAACTGAACTTCTTACACAAAAGCTCTACCTTTACAAGTCAACTTAGTCAACGGAAGTGCCAACTTAGAAAAACCTTCGATAAACCTTCTATAATAACCAGTTAATCCCAAGAAGCTTCTAATCTCAATAACTGACTTTGGAGTTTCCCATTGCAACACAGCATTAACCTTCGATGGATCTACAATAATGCCACTACCTGAGATCACATGACCAAGAAAACTAACCTCCTTCAACCAAAACTCACACTTGGACAGCTTTGCATACAACTTCTTCTCTTTCAAAACTTGCAATACTACTCTTAAGTGTTCAGCATGCTCTTCTTCTGACTTAGAGTAAATCAAAATATCATCAATGAACACCACTACAAACTGATCCAAATAAGTATGAAAGATACGATTCATATATTCAGTGAATACTCCATGTGCATTAGTAAGACCGAAAGGCATCACCGAATACTGGTAATGTCCATAACGCATTCTGAAAGCCGTCTTCTGGATATCTTCATCCTTCACTTTAATCTGATGGTAACCCGGCCTCAAATCAATCTTAATAAACACACGAGCATCCACCAATTGATCCATTACGTCATCTATTCTTGGAAGCGGATACTTGTTCTTAATCGTCACTTTATTCAGCTGTCTATAATCAACACAAAGCCTCATACTTCCATCTTTCTTCTTTACTAACAACACTGGAGCTCCCCGCGGCGATACACTTGGTCTTATAAACTTCTTCTCAAGTAACTCTTCCAATTGCTTCTTTAACTCTGATAATTCAGATGCAGACATCATGTATGGTGCCATAGACACAGGTCTGGTACCAGGTACAAGATCAATAGTAAATTCAACTTCCCTCTTCAGCGGTACATCGGGAATCTCATCAGGGAAAACTTCAGGAAATTCACACACCACCTGCAATTCCTCAATTATGGCTTGAGTCTCTACAGATAGCGACGCCATCAATGAGAACACTTGTGCTTCTTCTTGCATCAACTTCCTCAACTGTCTAGCAGACAACAGAACCTCTTCCTCTTCTTCAGGAGTAGAAAACCTCACAAACTTGTCATAACAGTTAATATGAACATAGTTATGCTCTAACCAGTTCATACCCAAAATCACATTCAAACCTCTTAGCGGTAAACAAACCAAATCAACAGCAAAGTCTCTGTTAAAGATCGACAAGGGACACTTCAAACACACAAAAGAAGTAGTCACCGACCCCTTGGCTGGAGTATCGACGACCAATTCTCCATTCAAAGAAGACAACATAAGACCCAATCTTTCAACACAATCACCAGCAATAAAACAACGCGTAGCACCGGTATCAATAATAGTAATTAAAGGAGTACTATTAATGAAACATGTACCTTTGATAAGTCTGTCCTCAACAGCTGTCTGATCCTCCACCAAAGCGAACACTTTAGCACTTGTTTGCGCCCTCTTCTGTTTCTGACACTGACTACCAATGTGCCCTTCTTCACTACAATTGAAACAAATCACATCCTTGTGTTCACACTCAGATACAACATGTACGTTCTTACCACAACGGTAACACCTCTTCACTTTAGTAGTGCATACATTACTCTTGTGTCCAGGTTTTCCATACTTAAAGCAAACCACACCAGCAAGAGCATCTCCCCCACTAGTCCTCTGACTCTGAGCAACTTTTTGTTTACCTTTACCAGCTGAGGCATCATAAGGCTTACCACGATTATGTTGGTGCTTACCCCTCTTCTCACTAATAATTTTGTAATGAGCATTATTATCCTCCTCATAAATCCTACAACTATCAACCAAGTCAGCAAAGACACAGATCTTCTGGTATCCAACTGCCTTCTTAATCTCTGGGCACAACCCGTTCTCAAACTTAATACACTTCGAAAACTCAGCATCTGCCTCAGCATAATGCGGATAAAACTTAGCCAACTCAGCAAACTTGGAAGCATACTCAACAACCGACATATTCCCTTGCTTCAACTCAACGAACTCAATTTCCTTCTTACCACGGACATCTTCAGGAAAGTACTTTCTCAGAAATTCCCTACGGAACACAGCCCAAGTGGCATTCTCACCCGCAACTTCCAACTTCTGACAAGTCTCTAGCCACCAGTCATCAGCCTCGACTGCTAGCATATGAGTACCATATCGAACCTTCTGCGCTGGAGTGCAGTCCATCACACGGAAGATTCTATCAATCTCTTTCAACCACTCCAATGCTCCGTCAAGATCATACTTTCCCTTGAACGTAGGTGGATTCTCTCTCTGGAAAGTAGCCAAGCTACGAGATCCAACATTCCCGTCAATATTCGGCTGATTTTCCATCGCATGAGCCATTGCTTCTAAAGTAGAAGCAAGTGCAGCATCATTCACTACAAGAAAATTGGCAGATTGCGACAGGTATTTTTGTAGATTACGACGGTTAAAACCGTCGCAATTTGCTTTCCACGACGGTTGCTTTACCGTCGCAGAAGTGTGTGTCCCCAACCTATTTCGCGACGGTTACAAAAACTGTCGTTCTAGTTTACGACGGGTTGATACCGTCGTGACTATCTTTTGAGTTTCTTTTAATTATTGATGGCGACGGTTCGATACTGTCGTGAATATCTTGTGAAATTGATTAAATTGTTTATGGCGACGGTTCGATACCGTCATGACTTTTGTTGATTATTTTTAATTGTTGATTACGACGGTTCGGTACTGTCGCCATGACTTTTGTTTATGTCTTGATTTTTTTTTATTTTTCTATTATATATATTTTTTATTATATATATTAGTGGTCATGATACCACTTGAAGTAGCAAATTGTTGATAAGAGATAAGAGAAAACTAGGGAAAAAAATCATTGAGATGGCATTTTTCTTAACATATAAGGGTTAAAAAATGTAAAGACCAACACATTAGACAAATGCATTACACTCATACAAGATTAAAACATATGAACCTAACCCAACCAATATAATTATTCTAAGGCCACACTTTATTCATTTTCCAACATCCTAACAACACAAGATATTGCTTCTTCAAAAGATTGGTCCAGCAGCAAGAATCTCTTCTGTGAGGTTGTCACCACCCTTTCCAATTGTGTAGTTGGTGAATGTTTCAAAATTTTTCCTGAACAATCCAGCCAACTTCAACAATGTCTCATTGTAGGCATCTTTGTCAGTCCACTGCAATCCATTACAAACTTCGTTAGAGATTATTTTCGAAGTGTTTTATTAGTACTTTAGCGTGTATAGATCGAGTATAGAATAACTAACCGCATTCACAGGATCGAGAATTTCTGAAGGGACACCCTCTACAGCTGTTGGGGTCTCAAGGCCAAAAATCTTACTCTTCTTGTACTCTGCCTTCAGGAGGCTCCCATTGTGAATAGCATCAATTATTTTTCTAGTATAACTTAGTTTGATACGGTTTCCGGTACCATAGCTGCCACCAGACCAACCGGTGTTAACAAGCCACCCTGTTGCACCATGACTCTCCATTTTTTCAGCAAGCATTGCAGCATATTTTGTAGGGTGTAACATTATAAATGCTGCACCAAAACAGGCCGAAAATGTTGCTTGTGGCTCCTTCATGCCATCCTCAGTTCCAGCAACCTACATTTGTTATTGTTCAAAAATATGGTTACAGTAGTTCGATCAAAGATCAGACAATCTAGATTTCAAAACTCGGTATTTTAGATAGGATGAAATTCACTAGTAAGGTAATATGTATGAAGAAATTAGATAGGATGAAATATTACCAGAGCTGTATATCCACTGATGAAATGGTACATGGTCTGCGCCAGGTTTAGTTTACTCACAGGCGGTAGCACACCAAATGCATCACATGCCAAAAGAATAACATTCTTTGGATGAGGTCCAACACATGGTAGCTTTGCATTTGGAATGTACTCAATAGGATAGGCCGCACGAGTATTTTCTGCAATAAAAGATCACCACGCATAAAGCACCAATGTGTATAAGAACACCACACATAAAGCACCAATGTGTATACTAGACACGACACTGACATATCAGCATGAATTAACTATGCCTTCAATCAGAAGTGTTGGTGCTAAGAAGACTTCTTCTAATAGGTGACTACAATTTACAACTTGGCAAATTCAATAAAATTCAGCAGCTGGCAAGTAGAAGTTTGAATCACTTGTTTATCTGTCATTTTAAATGTTTGTGTCTTTATCCCTTGTGTTGTATAACAGGAGGTTTATATTTTAATAAAAAGTGACCTTTCAGAATAACATACAATAGATTACTTGTTACATATGAAGTACATGTTGTAAGGATTGTACGAAGTCAACTGTTAATATTGGCAAGACAAAGTCAAAGCTTAGTCCTCTTTTTGTCAGCTAAGAACAAATAATTTTAAATGAAACAATCTTAGTCATTACTCAGCCAAAATTGATGAAGTCAACCCTAAACAAAAGAATTAAGAGAATCCAAATACTCAACTTGATATTAAAAAAATCATTGTTTACCTGTAACTGATTTGTCAGAGTAATCAACTTCTCTAGTGTGCTCATCAAACACCACGTTTTCCAGCACTGATAATTGCAAAAGGAAAAAAAAATCAAATATATATTTCAAACATTATAAAATATTTAGACCGTGACAGTTTTTTTAAAATATTTTTGCACCACGACATACCTGTACCAAACCTAATTGCGTTCCAGATATCAGGCTCTTTCTCCCGGGACAGATCAATGCATTTAGCATAACAACCACCTTCAATGTTGGAGACACCATTCTCACTCCAGCAATGTTCATCATCTCCGATCAAATACCTATTATGATCGGTAGAAAGAGTAGTCTTTCCGGTACCTGTTTTTTTCCAAAAAGATAAATAAAAAAAATCCATTAGAATTATAAGAAAATGAGAACAAAATCCATAACCAATTTCGATGGCTAAGTATATAGATATCGAGTGGAGTATAGGACAAGGAAGGGAACGTATCGTGGGCCGTATGGCTGGTTGGAAGAGGTAACCTAACCAACCACATTGATTACTATACCTGAGAGTCCAAAGAAGAGTGCAACATCACCATCTTTGCCCATATTGCAACCAGAGTGTAAGGAGAGAATTTGGCGCTTAGGCATGAGATAATGCATGACACTGAAAAGACCTTTCTTCATTTCCCCGGCATATTGTGTGCCGGGGATAACCATTTCCCTTCTAGCAAGATTAAGATCAATGCTAGTGGAAGATGTCATGTAGTGAGTGAAACGGTTACATGGAAACTTTCCCGCATTGTATATAGTGAAGTCCGGAGTACCAAAATTCTCCAGCTCTTCAGGACTGGGTCGGATACACCTGTAACCAACCCAGTTATCTACTTGTTTTACATAGTTTGGATGTCTCGCATTATGACAGTGATACTTTTACATACCATATTGTTTAGATAATATAAATTATATATAAGGCTTTCAACGATATAGGGTACTTATCTGGTGGCGGAGCTTATAACCTACCTTTTTGTCTCGACCGAACAAATGAGAAACCAAACAACATAGTGTTGGCAATTTTGTGCATGAACAAAATTTTCACTTACATGTTGTGCATGAACAATGAATGGTATGATCTGGCTGAGACAATTCTGACTTTGATTCTGTTCTCGGGATCCCAGTTCAAGAATTGATCATTCACAAACACCTGCAAAATAAGGTTTGGATGACAGTGGTTTTCTACTGGCTTGATTGTCAGTAGCAATAATTTTAAGTTTGCAAGCCAAATCCCAACCGCCGCAGTCACATGATCCACCGGATTTCCACCGCTCAAGTAGTGATGAAGGTCCGCCTTTACTTGGAAAACTATGAACCCCGCCTGGGAGCACAACCGTTGCATGGACAATGTCATGACTATCACTGTGGCAACTGCTATGATGTTGATTGTTAATGAAACTGATAGCTTTAGGTATTTTGACGGCAATAGCAGCAAGCTCGTCTTTTGGCTGATAGTCGGCGTCCTGAGCATCACTTTGCCCGAGCTTTACAGAAAATAAAACAAACTCTTTCACGGTAGAGGAGTCCATACAATTCTGGCCGGTTAAATCATAATAATGCAAATAAGAAGCCTTCATTTGAGCCACAACATGGGGAACGTAATCAGGTTCTTTGCTTCTGCCTGCTTTACTCATCCAACTTCCATTCTTCTTCTTAACCTCGCTAAAGAACTTAAAAGATCTAGACCAAACAAAATTTTCATTCGCATGTAACAAATGATTAATCAAAATGTAGCATTCAAAATATTACTATTTTCCACAGATCTAAACCCAAAACAAAAAAGCAAAGAGTATCTAGAGAAAGCGATAGTAATGCATACGCTTTCCGCCGCCGAGAACGGAGTGAACGGGCTTCTCCCTTCCAAAAAGGCGAAAAACCTTGTCCTTAACTGATGAAATCTCCGGTTTAACAGATTCGGAATGAGAATCAGAGTCGGAATCAGAGGATGATTCGTCAAAGTGAAGCTTCGCTGGGATCTTTTCAAACAACGAATCGCCGCCAGTCGCTGCCGTCACGGTGCTTCCGGATTCTCTGAAAAAGTGAACGCAGAGTAGAAAGGGGAGATCAAAAGGAGTAAAAAGTGAACATGATATAATTAATTAATATTTGATTAATTAAGGGTTGAATCGACCTTGAAGAGGAACCATCGAAGAGTTGTAAAGCAGCGGAACGGTGAGAATCGGAAATCGGACTTGGATTCGTGACGGCGTTGCAGATCGAAATAGTGAAAAACAGTATGAGAAATTTGGCTAGGTTTATGGCCATTTCTGCAGCTATGAATCTATGAATGCAAATCGCATTTACGATAGGTTAGGGATTTTAGAAATGAGATCGAGAATTACGAGATACGCGAAGAAACGACTTGTGCGAGTGAGTCTGTGTGTTTTTGGTGCAACTGAACTAGTATCATCACTGGCTCTTGATCATCTAGCCATCTTTTCAAACAACGAATCGCCGCCAGTCGCTGCCGTCACGGTGCTTCCGGATTCTCTGAACGCAGGAGTAGAAAGTGAATGGATGTTTTATGAGATTTTTAACTTTTTTACGGCGACGGGTGTTTTACCGTCGTGCCCATGAAATTTTTTAAAGGTTTTGGATGCGACGGTTGTTTTACCGTCGTGAAATGAATTTTAGGACGGATAATTTTACCGTCGTGAAAGGTTTAAGGGTGCGACGGGTGCTTTACCGTCGTGATATGCCTTTTAGGACGGTTAATTTTACCGTCGTGACTAGTTGTTGGTGAAAAATCAATGTTAAAAGTGTTAAATGGGGGCCGACGGTTGTTTTACCGTCGTAATAATAATATTATGATGGTTAAATATACCGTCGCAAAATAAATATTAGGGACGGTTGGTGTCAACTGTCGTAAACACTGTCTCTATATGTCAATTACGACAGTTATCACATAACTGTCGCAATTTTTGTGTCGTTAAACACTAATTTTCTTGTAGTGATTCCTTCCAGCCATCTCAACTTATCACTACAACATAAACAACGGTTAGAACTTAAATTAACAATACTCGATTGTTAGACAACTACGACTCGACGACAAGGTCAGACAACCCTTTTGCTCTGATACCAACTTTGTAACACCCCAATTCTACCCCGACAAATTATATAAATAAATCAGAGTTATAAAAATCATTCATGCAAACGAATCAGGATGCCACAAATTCTTCTATCAAAATTCATTGCATTCATCGTGGATATATAACACTTTTAAAACATAGGATGAACCATCATCGTAACATCTTTAATTAAATAATTCAACAACTAAGCAGCGGAATTCTTAATAACATATTTATCATCATTACAGTAACTTCAAACCAACAAACACTTAATAATAATCAACTTAAAGTTCAACAACTGAAAAATCAACAATCAAAAATAGCAAGCGTTCATCCCCCCGAGTGTTACATATCAGACCAATGACACCGACTCAAAATACTGAAGGTATACAGCCTTCACTCTTGATTACCTGCATGTTACCAACATAAGGGCAACATTCAAATAGAAGGGGTGAGATATCTAACAATATAATAAAGCGTATGATAATTAATATATTAAATTAGATCACATAACATCACCACTTCTCATCTCATAATCAACAATAATCACAACAATAATACACATTCACAACATCATTACACACTTCTTTATGCAATCAAATAATGCGACTCAATACTATGCAAGTGCATGTGGTACCATTGGAGCAGAACTCCCATATAAAAAATTTGCCAATTAATAGAGCCATCAACAAGGCATAAGCCTTCATCTCAAAATTCGCCAATACAGGCCATCTCAACAAACATAAGCTCCATCTCAAATACAATGTATGCGACACAATCATGAATATAATAACAACACCAAAATTAACAGCATCTCAATACAACACCATCATTGGCCAAAGGCCTACATCTCAAAAGCATCTCAACATCTCTTCATCAACATCTCATATCATCATAATAATTCATCTAACGTCATTTATTCATCAAACATCATCTATTCATCAAAATCAACTTCTTTAATAATTTCTCATCAACAACTCAGTTGTACATTAATACTACAGTAATTCATACTGCTATTCTGTAATCTTACATCATTACTATCATTAATTCTACTGTTATAACTCAAACAGCAGCCTCTAGGCATCTCATCTTCATCATTCTGCACGAAAAACCAATATAACGACCAACACGGGAACTATCTCTAAATCCTAAATTGGCTACTAGGATTACACTTCCTATTCTTCATTTTAATCCTCAAGAATAAAGCTCATTGCATTAGCTATTCAACACTTCGAACGACATCTCAAACGGCATCCTAAAACTCAAGTTACAGCGTTTTAAACTGAATCTGCCAAAAATCAGAGAATATGGATCGACGCAAAACGTCTTGGATCGACGCGTACTGCACTAAACTCACAACATGAGTCGACGCATCTTCTCTTGGATTGACTCATCCAGAGTCATACACACAACATGTATCGACACATGCATCCTACGGATCGACTCATCCTGAGTCTGGGAATCCTCATGGATCGACGCAAGCCTCTTCATGTTGACTCATCCTGAGTATTTCAACCTTCATGTATCGACACATCACGTTTGAGGTCGACACATCCTGTTCAATCCTGCATAAATTATGCGATTTTCTCTGCATTTTCACTACGGATTCATACTTTTATCCCTAAAACTTAATCTAATCATGATAAATCATCGCTTACAATTATCCTATAAATCTACATCGATTAAACAACATCGGGACATCATTATTCATCTAAAATTCATCAATTCTTCATCATACAACATCATATACTTTCAATTCAAGAACAAGACAGCAATCACCTCTAACCTCACATACCAATTATCATGAACCTAATTATAGAGTCAGAACCCCACCCTTACCTTGGATCGAAGGTCTCTCTATAATCTTCCGGTCGAATCCTTGTTCTGACGTTTTTCCTCTTTTTCCAGCAGCTTCACGTTCTCCTTCTCAATCCTTATTCTTCTACTGCTTCTTTCTTTCTATTCTTTCTAACAACAATAAAATAACCCTATTATTCTCTTAACTCCTTATTTGGGCTCAAAACTAATACACCCCCTTATTACTATTATTCCTTTAAACAAGCCCACATCAAATAATATCATTCTTCTAATATTATTTCTCCACTTAATAAAATAAATTAAATCCAATTATACACAACACATCTTCACAATTATTCCAAAAATAATTTAATTAAATAATTAATTTAATTACGGGCGTTACAATATCCATTGTGTATAACTTTGATAGATCCCTATACAGATTAGATGATCCATGGTTTCTTTCTTACTAAGTTTTGGTTTTTTATTTACACAACGAACACATGGATAGAGAAAAAGCGCATGAAGACTTTTTTCAGCATTACTTTCAGCAAACCTTAGAAATTCCTTCACTCCATGTTCGTACTCAGGACTTAATCGATTATCTCTCATCCAAGTACGATCCATACCTATGTTCCGAAATTAATGAATACATAGTTAAATCATTAAAAAAAATTATTTCTAATATACTTGTTTAATAATTAATGTTTTTTAACATTCTTTACTTGTTAGATCACTCCACAATGACTTAATATAGGAAACTCTGTCACAAATAATATAGAATTAGAATACGTCATATTTAATTGTCCTTGAATGTTTCTAGTTTGGGTAAAAATATACATTTATAGGAAGTCCGGCAGAAGAGTAGCACTACTACAAGAATCCATAAGAGATTATTTTAAACATAAAAATTGTAACATAATGTGATGTCGTGGGATTGAAACTTGATTGGTGGTTAGCATGCAAGATTAAATAAAACTAACCACCGTTAAAACATGTTCTAAAATAATCGAAATACATGTATACATATTAAACAAACTGTCCCACTCACAAATGGGGTTAACAACAACATTTTAATATGTTCTAATTTAAATTTATTTTGTTAGATAAAATGTAATATAAATCTTGATAACAGTAACAATAATGATTAATCTAACATGTCGGAAACGGAGGGACGGCGTTGGAGGAGGAGGGAGACAAAGAGACACGGAAGAACGCAGCAGAGGGAGACGGAGGGATGTCGAAGACGGACGAAAACGGAGCAAGGGTGAAGTTTTTGTGTCTCACGGTTTAGGGGGGAGGGAGATGCAGGGACGTCGACGACGGAGCGAGGGAGACTGAGGGACGTCGACGACGGAGGAAGGTTATCGTGTGAGACGGTTTCTGAGGGAGCTGCTCGAGAGAGTGATAGCGACGCGTTATGAACATCTGATTAGAATTATTAGGGTTTTGTGAACAAAATTGGGTTTTTACATCGGTTGGATTAAAGGGCCCGATGTAAGGGCCAATCTTTTACATCGGTTGGGACTTAGCCCGATGCAAGGGCCACTTTTTTTTTATAACAAAAATGCACCTTATTTACAAAACTGCCACCGTGTTTGTATTATTTTATCATTGGACTTTTTACATCGGAAGTTAGTAAAGGCCCCATATAAAATCCCTTATAAAATTTTTCATTTTATTTACCAAACTACTACTTTATTATATTTTCTTCTAAATCACATATTTTTTATATTAGAGGAAATAAAAGTGTGATGTAAAATCTTTTGATAAATATTTTTTACATCATTTATTTTTATACCTGATGTAAGAGGCTTTTCTCAAATATCATATTTTTAGTAGTGATTCCATGTCATACATGTTCGGATTGTGTCTTCTCAGTAGATGGTGCCTACCTTACTGAAGGTTGTGTTTTAATTGCACTCTATCAGACCAAATTTTTATTTAAGAGATGAAAAGTGTTTAGCAGAAATTATAAAAGTTGAAACAGTGGTGGAGAGTGGTGACTTTGAGCGACATGCTCGACTGTTTTTATAACTACTAATTTTAGAGTTTCATAATGAGTTGTAGTTCAAGGTAATTCTTTGCTCGATTTCATCATTTTCCTATTTGCAAAATAGATCTTGTGTTATCAATTATGAATTTGAGCGGACTACAATTATTGTTATTACCTTATTGATTATCAATTACTACTTCATCCAAATTTTTATCTCAATACATTGTCATTGCAGCTTCCTCTAATTCAAATAAGCTTTACATGACGGAGATGAACCTCCAACTTGTTGATAGAGTTGCTAGATTTATTTATTTAGGCCCCAAACCATCCTACGCACCATCCATGATAGACTAGATAGATTAAAATGCATGCAGACCATTTATATAGCGTAATTAGTGAAGTTTTGAAACACATATCTGCTAGTAGAATTCTTTAGGCTTATCTCACATTAATATTTGAACATTTTTAAGCACATTAATACTATTTGAGCATTTTTGTCACTATTGTTTAGTTATCATAATTATTGATTATTGTGGTAGTTTCCATAGTAAGTACAGAAGCTTATTTAGAGTGAAAAACCAGTGTGTTAAAAGGAAATGGATATTACACGCCATAATATACAATGTTTTTTTTTTAGGAATATATTGAATGTCATGGTAGTTTGAACTGCCACTATTTACAACTCAAAAATCACCATTTATACTAAGTATATAATAGCGGATACAAAAGTTTCGTGGATGTAATATTTATCGAACCACTTAGAATTTTAATCTCAAGAGTATATAAGTCTTGTTTTTTCACGCTTCTCAAGACTTCATCCGATCCCTTCATGACTCTTAGGATGCTTTTCTCTCATTGAAAAACATATCTTTTCTTGTCGAATTCACCAAAAGAAATCAAATTTCTCTTCAAATTGGGTACATACCTGACTTCAGTCAATAATCTTATTGACTCATCATAGAGCTTGAATCTCACAGATCCAACACCTGCAATCTTACAAACTTTGTTGTTTTTCAACAATACATATCCAACATCTTGTTCACATAGTTCCTCGTACAAGTCTCTGTTTGGAGTCATGTGGTAAGTGCAACCTAAATTTATAATCCACTCTTTTCTTGAGTCGCTGCTTGAAATCACAAGAACATCAGATGGGTCAAAATCATCTTAAACAATAACTGCGTTGTCATTATCCTTACCTCCATGATCTTTCAGGAATTCAGAGCACACCTTTATTGTGTGATCCTCCTTCTTACAATGATAGCATCGAATACCAGATGCTTCGCCATTGTAAGACTTATGCTGACTTTTATCTTTCTTCTTATCAAACTTACCATCCTTTTGCACGAATTTTTCCTTAATAGCCAAACCTTCACTAACCTTCGAAGGATTATGCTCCTTTCATTCGTTCAAGTCCATAGAATACAAGGCTGATTAAACTTCTTCAAAGGTCAGGGACTCTCTTCCATACGAGAGAGTTTCTTTGAAGTGAGCATGTGTTTTGGACAAAGTGCACAACAACAACAATGCTTGATCTTCATCATCGATCTTCACATCAATATTTTCAAGATCAAGAATCAGCTTGTTGAACATATCTAAATACTCGGCCAATACTTTGTCTTCAATCATCTTGAATGAATACGAAGTTTGCTTCAGATAGAGTCGATTTACCAGCGATTTGACCATGTACTAACTTTCAAGTTTCACTCATAACCCTGATGTCGTCGTCTCCTTTGATACATGTCAAAGAACCTTATCACCAAGGCTCAACAAGATTGCGTTGTGGGTTTTTTATATCATGTTCATCTTATCTTTCTCCACTAACGCAACATCCATAGTCGCTGCTCCCTTTAACATTTTTAAATAACCCTGCTGAACCAGTAGGGCTTTTATCTTTAAGCGCCACAAACCAAAATCGTTCACTCCAGTGAAATTTTCAATCTCATACTTTTTTGAAGGAATCTTATCCACGCTCATCTCACCAATTTGTTGTGAAAACGATGCCAAGAGCATAGTATAACAGGTTTTTTGAGGTAAGAAACCCACAAGGTATGAATCAGGAAAGAAAGAAGAACACGAGGAATTGGTTATTAATAGATATTCTTTACTTTCTCTTTGAAACAAGATTACAAGTGTTACAGAATAACAAATAACCTCTCTCACCCTAAATTAGGATTTGCAGTATGCAATGATGAGAGACTAGTATGCTATTTATAATAAATCTAACATACTAAACTAATGAGTTTTTTTTTCACAAATACTCATTACAAGCACTACTACGGAAAACCCAATTAACAATGGTTGGGAAAGATATATAACAACACGGCCCCAGACGTTGTTATGTAGAGTTTCATTGAATATATGATACTTACAACCACGACCCAGTAGCCGTTGTAATAAACTAGAAAGCACGCTCCTTATCACAACAGTTTTCCAAAAGACCGTTGTGATAAATTTAGTGGTCTTGGATTCAATTCCTAGATGCGTCGTTTTGATATTTATTTTTTTCTGGATAGCGCACGAGATATTATAACGGTTATGACTATAACCGTTGTTAAATTTTCTGCATAATTAACATATATTATCCTTCTTTTATAATTAATCTCATTTTTTAAACCTGTATTATTGTTCACCATATCACAGCAGAAAATAAAACTCATATTTGTGATAAGTTTATCTGAATAATATTAATTGTATCATATTCATAGACATGGCAATATAACTCATACCCGCGGGTACCCGCCCGAACCTTCCCCGAATTTGACGGGGAAAACCCGTTTTGACTGGGTTTGGGTTTTCCTCGATTTTAAAATATGGGGATGGGGCAGGTAATGGGGAGTGTAGTACCCACCCCGAACCCGTCCCCGAACCCGCCCCGTTTATTATTATTATTATTATTTTAACCCTTCCACTTCTCAATGTCAATCTCATTACATTTATGTTGGATTACCTATAGGCTTATTCAATTAAAAGACTTTTAGAAATCCAAAAACAAGCTTTTATGGTTCAATAATGAGTTATATCTCTTTCACTTTTCTAAAAGTCTCATTATTGAACTTGTTTTACCATTTCATTTTCAATTGGAAGGAATTCATTATCATTATCGATACCATCTCACCTGGATGGCTCACCATCTTGACGTCCTCAATTCCTCATCAATATTATTTTTGCTGTAAGTTTTCTTCTTCTTATTTTCTTATTTTTACTTCTAAATCTTGAATATTTATTGTGGTTGTAGAAGAATGTGATTATAGTAAGCATAATTATTCTAAGCAAAATCTTTATTGTAGTATGAATACAAGTCTCATATTCCAGGATATGAAAGATATGTTTCATTTTGAACTACTTTTTCTCCATTGTTCTCATATTCCAAGACTATGTGTGGAGCTTGTCTTACTCCATTTTCGGTCAGATGTGCTATGTGTGGTCTCTATTTATTTAAAAAAAACCAGATTAATCACATATCAATGTACCATGCAAGCCAAGGAATACAATGTTGGTGGATTGATATACTAGTTTTCAAACAGAGGAAATGCAAGCCGAGTTAAATTTCAAAACAGCATATACTAGTTTTCATTTTTCTGTTTTGAAAACAACAATTTTGAAATCAATCCTAACAAACAATTTTCAAAAATAAGTAAGCCAAACAAAGTTTTCATTTTTAAGCTTGTCTCATATTTATTAGTATATTTAAAATTAAATTTGTTAAAAACATGAGCACATATGAATTATGAGTCTCCAATATCTGTTTTATATGGTATTCATCGTCTGTATTTTATATGTTGCAACAGGAGATAAACATGGAAAATGTTGGTAACATCGATCCACTTATTTCACAAGATAGTGCACACCAATTAACTCCTGGCATGGAAGAAAGTTTCAACTCTTCGCTTAATGGCCTGACACCACCGAAGGAAACAATTGAAACACCTAATGATGAGACAACTGATAGAATAGATACAGGTGATAATATAGAGGCATTGGCATAAACAAAGAAAGGAAGACTTAGGAGTAAGGCTTGGGATCATTTTATAAAGGTGAGAGTTAATGGCGAGGATAAGGCTCAATGTAAATATTGCAAGAAATTTCTTGGTGGAAAATCGAGCAATGGAACGAAACACTTGCTTCAACATATGGAGACATGCATTCATCGCAAAATTCATGAGAACAAGACTACAAAAGGATAAACATTTCTCATGCCAAATAACTCGCAAGGAAAGCAAGAATTGGGAGTTGGTAATTATAATTCTGAAAAATCAAGGAAAGAGCTTGCACGTGCAATAATTATGCATGAGTATCCACTTTCAATTGTAGATCATATTGGTTTTCGATGATTTATTGCTTCTCTACAACCATTGTTTCATGTTCCTTGTAGAAATACTATTAGGAAGGAGATATTTAAAGTGTACGAGATTGAGAAGACAATAACTTCAAAGTCATTAGATAGTCTTCAAGCAAGAGTGGCGATTACTTCAGACATGTGGACTTCAAGCAATCAAAAAAAGGGATATATGGTTGTTACTGCACATTATATTGATGGATCTTGGAATTTGCAGAGTTGCATCTTGAGGTAATTACAATTTTTTATGTCTAGTTTAAGCATAAATATAATATGTTAGCTTCATTTATTTCATATTTTGAATTTTATTAATATGCTAGGTTCATTTATATTCCTGCTCCTCATTCAAGTGATAGACTTTATGCTGCTTTAGTTAAGTGTTTAATGGACTGGAATATCGATACAAAATTATCAACTATCACTTTAGATAATTGTAGCACAGATGATGCTGTGATGGAAAAAATTAAGGAGAAGATGCATTTAAGTACTTTGTTGAGGGATGGATCTTTACTTCATATGCGTTGTTGCGCATGTAACACCCCTTCTAATTTCCCCAAATAATAGGCAAGAATTAAAATCAGAGAAAATAAATTGCACGGAAGGGATGTCACAACACACTTCACATTCCAAAATTTTAAAGAAAAACGGACAGGGTACGTTTGTAAATTTAAGCATATCAACACAAAACAAACATACATAAATGTTTAACTTCTTTCTCTCGTGCAAACGCAACGGAGTTTCAATATTTAACTTCATCTCCATTCATGGAGGAATCAAAACATAATTCAAGGCATCAAGCCATGATAATTCACATAAAGCATATGTTATCAAGTCTCACATACACAAAATAATATACACAAAGTAAGGATTATATACATCATAATCCGAATACAAAATAGACGAGTTCGACACTAAATATACCCCCCTCCAGGTGTTACTACCAGAGCATCGACTCGACTCTAATCAAAATAAAACAGATTGCAATCCAATGCATCCGCTAACTAGCGCCTCGCGCTACCATCCTCGGTACCTGAACAATGCCATCAAAAGCATTTTCAAACAGAAGGGTAAGAATTCCAATAATCATATAACATGTAATTAAGGTAAAGCAATGGCAATAAATAAAGCAATACATAATGATCATGTTCATTTTATCACCTATAGTATCCTTACTCAAGGAATCCATTTCCAACGCATTAACCATGTAAACCGATTATCCGAATACTCACATCCTTGGCACATAACCATAATCCAAACAACAACAACAACATTGGCACATAATCAAACACATCAACACACATACATAACATGCACAATTATGCATGTGACTCACAACACGATTCAACGTATGCGAATGCGGTACCGACTCGTGGACCCAAGGTTCCACCACCTATGTTTCCCTTCCGGATCAAGGTCACTACGTCTTTTCCCACAATAGGGTCACCGTCTAGATATTGTGGACCCAATGTTCCACCACCTATGTTTCCCTTCCGGATCAAGGTCACTACGTCTATTCCCACACTAGGGTCACCGTCTATAAAATCATGTGAACCCACAGTTTCACCGTCTCTGTTTCAAGACCAACCATGCCATGAAATATACAATATAACCAATGCATGCAATTAAGATTCACAATAATCTTAACATACACATACCATCAAATCCAACCAATGGAACATCAACTATTGTACATGCATGCATACATATAATTTAACAATCACAACATCAAGTAAAATGTATACAAACAAGTTACTTACTCAACCAAAACATAAACCATCAACTATCAAACAATTCCAAATCGGAAAGTATATTTCAACATAAAGTCATCATCAATGAACCGGCATTACTCTCAATGTTACTCATCACGATCGAGTCACCGGAATGTAACTCGAACGCTTAAATTCGGGATTAAACTCAATTTATTTCATTTCGTACTAAAATCGGGTCGATTCTTAAAAAGTCGAAATTTCGCAAAACGAACTTCACTACGTTAATCTACACGTCGGATTATGCTAGCACGTCAATTTTCGTTAAATTCGGAGCAACTTGCTCCGTCGCCGAAATTGCCGAAATTGGAAAATCGGAACATAATCGGGTTCCAAATTAAATCGGCTAACTTATGTCATAATTTTATTTAATTAATATAATTATTTAATATATTAAATTAAGAAAATAAAAACAAAATATAAATTAATTAATTTCTAAATTTACTTTTCCATTTCTTATACTGCTATACATTTAGTTTAGGAAACGTAAATCTAGTTTTAGTCTTCAGGATGATATATATGCTTTAGCTTATAGATTTAACTTCTATGCATACTGCATAAGGTAGTTTTCATTTCTTCTAAATTCAACTGCTACACTTATATGCATACTGCATAAGGTAGCTTTTATTTCTTCTAAATTCAACTGCTACATTTAGTTTAGGTAGTTTATAAGCTGGATTAAGAAGAACATGCTGCTAGTTTTATCATAAACTTCAATATAATTAATATAATCTCTATTTTCTTTTTAATTCCAATTTAACTAACCTAATACTAATTTAACAATAACAACACCTAATTAACTCTTCTAATTTCTATCACAAATCTTCAACAAAACTCAAAAAAACCTAACATCAATTTTTCCCAATCTATACAACTCTCTAAAATCCTAATTTCTTCATCTATCAAAATCAAAACCCAAAACCACAAGTATATGAGCAAAGAAATTCAAACCCTTACCTCTAGTGTTGATTTTCTTGGAACAAGATGATGATTTTGTAGAAGAAACCCTAGCCTTCTTCTTCTCTTCTCTTCTTCTTCTCTCTTTTTTTTTATCCTCTTTCTCTTCTTACCAACTACTCTTATTAACTCTACTTTTCTATTTTATAAAACTATCCTTCTACTACTAACTTTCCTCCCTCTATCTTTCTAAAATTATAATTTGGCCCCAACAATTATTTAATTCAAATTATAATATATAACTCTATTAAAACAATATTACACTAAATAATATTTATTCTATATAAACCTAATCATGCCAATTAATCAAACAAAGTCAAATATTACTACACACCAAATTAATATTATTCAAAATAATATTTCGACATAATAAATATTTTTATTTCATATTACCCAATTAATATTTTAATCGATATCAATTGAATATATTTCTCAAAATAGATATAATTTAATAGTTTTGGAAAATAATTAATGAAATAACATTTAAATATAAACGGCGTGTTACAACTCTCCCCCACTTAAAAGATTTTCGGCCTCGAAAATTACCTCTAAACGAACAATTCGGGATAGGAATCCCGCATCCGACTTTCAAGCTCCCACGTCACATTACCATTCGCCGAACCACCCCATGCAACTTTAACCAAAGCAATCTCTCTTCCTCTTAGTTGTTTCACCTTTCTATCTTCAATCCTCACCGGTAAAACCTCAACCGTCAAATTGTCTCTTACTTCCAAATCATCCGCTTGAATAACATGAGACGGATCCGCAATATACTTTCGTAATTGCGAAACGTGAAACACATCATGCAAATTTGAAAGTGATGGCGGCAATGCAATCCGATAAGCCATACTTCCAATCCGCTCTGAAATCTGATAAGGACCAATAAACCGAGGTGTCAACTTCCGCGATTTAAGCGTCCTTCCAACACCCGTAGTTGGATTCACCTTCAAAAACACATGTTCATCCTTCTTGAACTCAAGAGGTTTCCTCCTCTTGTCATAGTAACTCTTTTGGCGATTCTGAGACACTTTCATCTTCTCTCTTATCAATTTGATCTTATCCGTAGCCTCTTGAACCAATTCCGGACCAACTATAGCACTTTCTCCCGTCTCGTACCAACATAAAGGTGTCCTACACTGTCTTCCATACAATGCCTCAAAAGGAGCCATGCCAATGCTAGAATGAAAACTATTATTATAAGTAAACTCAATCAAAGGCAAATGACTCTCCCATGAACCTCCTTGATCCAAAACACAAGCACGCAACAAATCCTCAAGTGACTGAATTGTTCTCTCCGTTTGACCATCCGTCTGGGGATGATAAGCGGAACTCAATCTCAGCTTAGTACCCAAGGCTCTTTGTAAACCTTCCCAAAATCTTGAAGTGAAACGCGGATCTCTATCTGAAACAATACATGTAGGAATACCATGTAAACAAACAATTCGTTCCACATACAACTGAGCAAGCTTCTCCATAGTGTAATCCATCCTAATCGGAATAAAGTGTGCAGATTTAGTCAATCTATCCACTATGACCCAAATAGCCTCATGGTTACTCGGAGTCCTCGGCAAACCAGAAACAAAATCCATCGAGATACTATCCCACTTCCACTCGGGAATAGACAACGGTTGCAACAAACCCGAAGGCTTCTGATGTTCAATCTTAGACTTTTGGCAAACCAAACAAGCATACACAAACTCAGCAATTTCTTTCTTCATACAAGGCCACCAAAACAGCTTCTTTAAATCTCGATACATCTTCTTAGCACCAGGGTGAATACTTAACCCACTTCTATGACCTTCCTCAAGAATCCTCTTTTTCACATCCCCCACATCGGGAACGCAAACTCTATCATGACATCTCAAAATTCCATTCTCATCAATTCTGAACTCTCCACCTTGACCTTGATTCACCAAAGTAAACTTGT